TCCCACCGAGGACCCCACGGATGACTGACCCATCGGAGGACCCCACCGACGACCCCACGGATGATGACCCATCCGGAGGACCCCTCCCGAGGACCCCTCCTGAGGACCCAACCTATGGCCGTCCCCGAGCCCATCGGTCAATCCCACACCAAGCCCGTCGAATGGAAGCATTCCAACGAACCCGCCCAACACGGACTGTGTCAAGATCAGTGTCGTGGGCGATGCAACGTACTGCATTCCGGGCCCGATCTGTGTCGGCGCGCACGACTACCCTGCGGGTAAGAATTGCCCCAAGAAGGGCGACGTCGCTGGCCAAGACTGCGTCGGCGGTATTCCGAGCTACTCGAACGGCCAGTGCGTCTTGACGACCGATGCCGTGTGCCAGCAAATGAATGACGGTGTGTGGGGGTGCATGCTCCCGGAGGCCGCGCCGATGGCGCCCACCAGCAACTCGTCCACGACAGTCAAGATGGCGGTCGCTGCATCAACGGATCTGTCGCCGCCCGACTACACGGGGTATTTTGTCGCGGGCGGCACTGTCGCCGCGGTCGCGGCCGTCGCCATGGCCGTGCTTATTGTCAAAAAGGTGCGCAAACAAACAGCTACAAGGACGGGTGTCCGATGGAGATCCAGCACAACGCCGAGACACCGGTGCTTTGAGCGTCGTCGAGTGCTGTCACTATTTGCTAATACGTAATTTCCGCTTCTCAATGTACACTTGATACAGTAGTTTGCATCTTCAACTCCTCATACTAGCGGAGGAAAGAAAGCTCCCGACGTTGGACCCCATCATCTCGTCGCTCCAGCCACTCGGGCGTCCATCCATGCTGCGAAATGGCGTCATTGCTCCGATGACGCTACCCCATCAACTCGGCAATGGCACTCTTGGGTGGCCGTCACGGCCACCAGTTTCACCCGAGCCACTGTCAAAATCTGCATTCTGCTCTTGGCGCTCGGATGACACTATCTCACCGTAGTCGACTTCTATCGTACGTACCAGCGGAGCCCAGGGTCTTGTACCCCAAGGCGCTGCAGACAACTTTCACAGCCGTGCATGCAAGTACGAGATTACGTGAAAGTGCAAAGGCAAGTGTTCACGACCGGCTGCATACTTGTCGCGCTTTGGTGAGAGTGGATGCGCCATATCTGTCAATGTTTCAACGAAGTGTATCACGACAAAACGGCGGAAAAGATTCGCAGCCGATGGGTGACGGTGAGGAGGCGCCTGATCCCCGGTCGCTCAAGGATGCGCTTGTGCGCGACGTGGCATGGGCCGAGAAGACGCTTGACGCGCACGTACGACAACGACTTCTCTGCTGCAAAACACGTACACGCACTTGACGCGTAGGCTGCCACGTACGCCCACGAGTGCACCGTCTGCCACAGCAAACAAACGATCCTCCTCGTCGCGCAGCAACACGTCTACTGCCGCATGTGCCGGACGACGACAGCCAACGTCTACTGCCGACCACGCCCTAGCGACAAGATCAGCGAGCTCGAGCGCCTCTCCAAGAGCGCTGCCAACGGTCCGTCATTCCATGTCATCTCCAACAAGAGATGCCAACCGGCAAATAGAAATGCTGCGGGAGATGCTTGCCGCTTTTGAGCTACCCCACAACAAGAGTCTCTTGACCAACGCCAAAGTACAAGGTAGTCATAGCTCGCCATCGAAAAACTTAGCGCCGATTCCTAGCGCGAAACCAGCTCCTTCTCGTCGTCCAGGTTGGCGACTCCCGAGCAAAGTGTTTTAATGCCTTTGTAGACGTATATTCCGCTTGCGCTAAACATTGTTGGTGCCGTCATTGTCCAGTTGCGACCGGCGTCTGCACGATCATGCAACTCACAAAATAGGCGCGTAGGTATGGCTTCGCCAACTCGCTCGAAGGCGTCCTCAAGAGCCTTCGGGCAATTCAAGAGCACTGCGGCGACGACACAGCTCTCCACGAGGGTCTCATCCAGCTTCGCATCCTCTTTTCGCCCTTTAACACGTTTGAGCTTGGTATTATAGCTCGAGATAATAGAAATGTAGTAGCTGCTTTTCTCTGTAGACGACGCCCGCATTCGCCAAGACGACGTCGACGCTGCGCACAAAGCGATCGAAGCCGAAGCGCAGCGCGCCGCCGAAGCAAAAAAGCTCGAGGCGCTGGCACAAGAGCGCCGCGACATGGCGCTCAAGCGGGCGACAAAGGCGGCGCGCGGCCTCGACCCCAACCAGAGTATATTTCCCTCTTGGAAACTATTGTCGATACTCTCCCGTGCATGCATCTAGTCTATGAGCCCGTCATTGTTCGGCAACCCCCTCGCGAGATGATGCTGGTACCGGGTCGCCAGGCCTTTCTGAGCATCGTCGCCACGCGCACTGAGATCTATCAATGGACCTTCAACGGCACACCGCTGCCAGACGAAACCCCGGGCATTCGTGGCACACGGAGCGCGTACCTTCGCATCTCGTTCTTCACGAAAGCCATGAGCGGCCAGTACGCATGCATTTGTACGAACGATGACGGCTGCATGACGAGTGATACATGCACGCTCGCGATGGGTACGTAGAGTTGAATCGTCCATACTAAATGCTCCGCGTAGCCCAGCTCCAGCCAACGCTGCTTCGCCGCGTGACTGTACCGTCCACGCCGCACGACTTGTGTGTGGATGCGACGACCGAGTACATGATTGTATTGGCGTCCCGTGGTGTCGAGTTTCGGCACAAAACGACGCTGGCGGTATCGCGGACCGAGAATGCTCCTCCTTGCACCGACAAGAGCCTCGTCCTCGCGGGCGATCGCGACACGCTCTTGGTCGGCCTCGCCAACGGGTCGCTTCAAGTGTGGCGCACTCAACGTCGGCTGCAACCGCCCGTGCGCGAGCCGACGCTAACAACGATGAAGAAGGTGCCGTCGGTACGGCACATGAACGTCGTATCCGACGTAAAGGCTCCGCCGCTCAAACGCATGGCCACCCGGCGCGCCAGCGTGACGTCGGTGGTGCACGTTCTCCGCACCGAGCGCCACGCCACCTCGCTGCCCAAGATCGCAAGCATGTCCTTCTTTGCCAACAAGGCGTGGCTGCTCCTGTCCGACAAATCCAGCACGTTGCAGCTGTACCGTCTGAAACCGGCTCCGGACGACAGGCTCTTGCCGCTCCTCTTGGCAACTTTCGTGATTGCGGCCCCCGGAAAAATGCGCATCAAGGCGATCGCGGCCAGTGCAGCGCTACCGTTCGTGGCCGTTGCATATGAGCACGTCGCGTCGGTCGACCTCTTCCAAGTACGCACCTCGACGTATGCGAAGACGACGATTGCGACGCGGCATCGCATCTCGGCACTGGCGATGCCTGCGTGGGGCTACGAGCTCGCGATCGGCGAGCAAGGTGTGCAGCACGGTTTTCTGAGCATTTTCAATGTGGAGACGCGGCACCGGATGTGGCACACACGCGGGCACTTTGGCCCGATCGAGCACTTGCAGTACATTGGCAACTTTGTCTTGTGCACGCTCGGGATGGACCGCAGCGTCAAGCTCTGGGACACGACGAAACGCGCGTGCCTTCTCGAGTTCGTGCCCCAGTCCGGGATCCCGTCGACGCTGCGAACGTTTTTCTATGCGACGCCAGAGACCTCGACGGCCTGCGCGATTGCGCTCGGATATTATACCAAGCAACTCGAGGTGTGGCATGTCGCGTCGCTCGACAAGGTACTCGCCAGCATCGAGACGGAGCATTTGTACGCCGTCGTGATGGTGCAGAAGCAATGGCGCGGCGCACTGGCCCGCCGCCGACTGCGACGCGCTGCTGTCTTTGCTGCTGCCGCCGACAACCGTGCGCCTTAAAACATACTAGTGAACACTGGCGCTTTTCAATGGACAGGACAAGATCGCGTCATCGGCGAGCATCCATTCAAGCGCAACCAGAGAGGCTCTTGACTTGGTTGCCGTTGATGGCCGAAAGGCAAAGTCACGCATTAAGCTCAACCCGGGAGCGACGAAGAGCCGATGAGAGAGGCTACGACTAGATGTCGGTGGCTCGAGAGACGGAGAGATTCGAGTCAGATTCCTGAAGAACCGGGAGTGGACCGACACGATTGATCGCTCGCGTAATGCCAGAACGCGCCTCCGTACACCTGCTGATGTTCAATTTTATTCGGCCGTTGATTGGCTGCACGCGAGCCCAAAGTTCAGAAAACCACCAATCGTATGCGCTGGCGTAGGTCGACGCACTTCACAGCACTTGCTCAAATCGTCGTGCGGCGTTGACCTTCTCGAAAACGCCCCATGGCATGCACGGCGCTGTCGTGCTTCGAGCCTCTCGTCACCACAGCCTCAAAGATCATGGCGTGCATGCGTCTCTCGGTGGTCGCCACGCCAACGCACATTTCTGGAATGCAAGCTCATATTTCACCGTGTCCTATATTTCATATTTCACCATTTCACAAATATTTCACATGTCGTGGGATTACCACGACCGAGTCCCATCGCGTGCCACGCAAGCTGCCGACGCCCAACGAAATCGATGCGATGGGTACGCATGGGTGCCAAGCGTCATGGTCGGACGGCAGCGCCAAAGTCGCGAGTTCGCACACATGTGTAATGGTTTTGTTGAGATACATATGATATTTCACCCGTGGTTTGAGACAGCATTGAGAATCTCCGTATCGACCTTGCAGAGGCAACACTCGCGAATTCGTTCCGTGGCCGTTCCGAGACTGCATGGACGACATCCGCCAAGCCGCCGAGAGCCTCCAGCGCGTGCTCGCCTTTGTCGAGCGCGAGCAGAACCAGCACATGCTGCCAACGTCTCCGATGGCCGCGCTGCAGAAGCGCGTGCTGGAGCTCGAGAACCAGCTCAAGGAAGCCCGCGACGAGAAGGAGTATTGGTTCCGCAAGAGCTCTGGCATTGACGACAACTTTCACAACTCGAACCGGCGCCCGCGCTCCAACTCGGAGCTGCGCGTGATCGCCGACACGATGTCGCGTGGCAGCGACGAGAGCCTGAGCGACCTCGAGAAGGACGACGGTGCGGGCGTGCCCGGCTGGGACAAGCGCGCGCCGTTCCGCCTCCTCCAGTGCAGCGACGAAGAGTGCGAAGTCTTCACGGCGCAGCACCGCAACATTCGCACACAGCACCGCGCCAAGAACAACGTGCAAATGATGTGGGACACGCCGCCGACCACCGTGCTCCTCGTGAAGAAGCCCAACGACGCCGACATTACCGATACCATGTTCGCCGTCGCCAAGTGGCTCATGCACGAGAAGGGCATGCGCGTCTTCCTCGAGCCTGTCGTCCACGCTGCGGTCGCCAAGGACCTCCCGCAGGCGCGCACGTGGTCGACGTCGTACGACTGGCTTCTCAAGCAAAACGAAATCGACTTTGTCGTGTCGCTCGGCGGCGATGGCACCGTGCTCTGGGTCTCGTCGCTCTTCCACATGAGCGTCCCGCCCGTGATCTCGTTTGCAATGGGGTCGCTCGGTTTCCTCACACCCTTTGACATTTCCCAACGCGAAGGTATCATTCTCGTGTCTAATTCGAATCCTCATGACACCACGACGTTTCCGAGTAGAACACCTCAAGCACTTGATCCGAGGTGGGTTCTACCTCTCGCTGCGGCAGCGCCTGCAGTGCACCGTCTTGCGTGCCAAGCCCGGTGTCGTCGAAGAGGTCCAGATGCCGATTCACGCGCTGAACGAAGTCGTGATTGACCGCGGCCCGTCGTCCGCCATGGTCGACCTCGACTGCTTCTGCGACGGCGTCGAGCTCACCAAGATCAGTGCCGATGGCATCATCATTGCGTCGCCGACCGGCTCGACCGCGTACTCGCTCTCGGCCGGCGGTAGCATGACCCATCCCAGGTACGACTCGCTCTTTTAAAGTCCTACGCACGGACGACACCATGCCTCTTAGCGTGCCGTGCATGCTGCTGACGCCGATTTGCCCGCACTCGCTCTCGTTCCGGCCACTGCTCTTCCACGACAGCGCGACGCTCAAGATCGTGCTTCCGTTCACGGCGCGCACACCCAGCGTACGCCCTGTGATGAGTACAAAACAGCTCATGATGGAAATAGGTCAACGTGTCTTTTGACGGCAAGACGCGGCTTCGGCTGGGCAAAGGCGACACGCTGTACGTGCGCGTGTCGTCGTACCCGCTGCCGTCCGTGTGCCGCCTCAACGAGAACGAAGACTGGTTCGAGTCGGTCAAGGTCAACTTGAATTGGAACCAGCGGCGTGAGCAAAAGCCCTGGGTGCCACTCGACGACCCGAGCCTGTCCAAAATGTAATTGTGTGTAGATGTGTACTAGACGATAGCGTAGCAGCGGGTGATAGATACTAGTCCTGTTATTTAATGGCGCTCGTCCTGCTGCGCGGCAATCTCGTCTCGAAGCAATTCGCAACGTGCAAGCGTGTCGGTCAGCAGCATGAGGGCTTCGTTGTGGACAGAGGCCTGCGTCTCGCTCCACTCGTCCAGCGACCGATCGGTGCTAACGGGCTCGAACCCGCCGCTGCTCAGCGACGACGGGCGCATGTCGAGCGTGCTGGCGCGCGTCCACTCTGTCGACGTACGACGATCCGCCTCGAGCCGCTTCACGTCGTCATCGAGCTTGGTCGGCGTTCGGAACCCGAGCTGCACGGGCTTGGGCGCTTGCTGGATGAGTTGCACGATGCGGCTGAACGGGCTCTTCTCGACAGGCTCGTTGTTGACCGAGACCAAGAGGTCACCGAGGCGCGCCATCATGATACCCGTCGCGACGCCTTTCCCTTGCGTAATGCGCTCGATGCGGCAGCCACCCGTCTTGGCCTGCGTCGTCGACTGCTTGAGGCGAATGCCAAGCTCGCCGCGCTTCCAGATTACGTAATAGTCGCAGCCCGAGCCGCGCAAATCAACATTGTCAAAGTCATCCGAGGCCTCGGTCTCGCACGGAAACTGCTGAAAGCAGAGACGCCCGCTGTTGAGCTCGCTGTAGATGTGCGAGTGCGCTTCCATGGAGCCGAGGAGTCGCTGGAGCTTGCTCATGAGCTCCGGGAGGTTGTCGCTAAAGTCGTCGGCGATCGCGTGCTCGCCCACAAAGCTCGTGCTGCGGCCAAGAAACGCGCGTTGGATCGTCTCTTGGCTCATCGTGTTGTACGGGTACATGCTGGTTATGAGGTCGTCCGTCGGCTCGCTCTCGGGCATGGGCGAGTAGATCTGGAGAAACTCAATGTGCGAATCGGGCAGCGTGTGGTCGTCGGCCAAGGCGAGCTCTAGCGGAAGGTGCTTCTCGTGACTGCGGACCCAGAGCGCGTCCGGGTACGCGTACACGAGCTTCTCGAGCACGACTAGCGGGATCGTCGGGTCGCAGCAGGCCCAGTGCAGCGGCAGGTTGCCCTGGAGGTCCGTTTCCATGGCATGGTCCGGGTCCATCTCGATCTTCATCTCGAGGGCCTTCCAGTCGCCAGCCATCGCGAGCTCGATCGCGCTGAGCTTGGACGACGCCGAGTACGACGTCGACATGCCTGCTTCCTGGATTGTGACTGCCCAATATCTGGCCTCGTTACAAGAACATCGCAGTGGGGCGAAAACGAGCTTACAAAATGCGAGATAAATTGTGCTCCAATAAGATCTACTATCGAGACCGAGCATTACAAAGTCTACACGGCGACGCGCTAGGTTGGTGACCTGCAGTACTAGTAGGGAGAGATAGCAGAAAGGAAGATAACAATGTCACGCTTGGATTAATGGCAGGATGTACGATCGTTCTTGAAGGGTCGGCGGTAGCGGTCGTCCGTTATCGAGCACTCGGCGAGCAATACTGCAGGTCCTCGCGTGTGCAGTCAGTGTGGAGAGTACCATGGGATAGCACGATGCAACGAGTCAGTAGAACGCAATGGATAGAGTGCACCTAGTGCACCTTCAGCTGAGCCGTCAGAGCCTGGCAGAAGCGTGTCGGTCGCGCAATCGCCGTGCGTGTTGAAGCATGTTGACGCGATGGTGTGGGATGGCGCAGTAAAGACAAGTGTGTACGATGACGTTTTCGTCATGCTTGCTGGAATGACGCGGAAGGCATGGATTTGAGCCGAGGCGTCGCCCACCTACGCGCCCTTCGTGATCATCGTTGTCGCTGCTATGTTGAGATCAAGCCCCGGTCGCTAGTACCTTGCGTCGGGTGCTCCTACGTTGTGCGTGCAAGGTCGCGTCCGCACCTGCTTGATACGACGCATGCTCGCGACCTCGAAGCGACGCGATGCCATGATACATGCAGGTTGACAACCTTTCGCGCCGGATCGCAATACGAACGTTTTGATTCGCGGATACGTGATAGGATTTTGAGATTCTACCAATCCCAAGCGTGGACATGCAAGCCTCATTTTCGACACAATGGACGAACGAGAGGGTTCACGGCTTCGCGACTGCCGTCTCGACTTGCCGCAACGTCAACTCGCACAGGCGCTGCGATGTAATGCTGCAACGTGCCCGTCGGTATCCTTCAACGCAGGTGTCGACATAAACACGACAAGTTCTCCGCGCCTGTCTGCGCGGCGAGCTGGTCTCGAGGATGACGAATTGGAACCCTTGCATCGCGTGTGTTCTCGACATCATGTCGTCGTCGTCTCGAGAACCAAGATCGCACCGAACAAAAGTCCTTTGTGTGAATTTCATCCAAATTCGAACGTTGCATTGCAAACCGTCGATATCGAAGATGCTGCTTTCGTGGAACGCTAACATGGAGATGGCGCTTCGAGATTGACACTCGACAAACGGCGTGGATGGCGACAAAGCTTGACGAACTGCAGCCCGCGGAGGCCATTTTGCTCGCACGGACCAGCGCGCCGCCGAAAAAAGCGTCGTCGTCGTCGTCGTCCACGCACCACATTGCACCCAACGAGTCCCTCGCCGACTTTGTGCGACGCGTGCGGCCGTCAACGCCGCATGCGACCAAACGCTGGATCTCGATCCGAGGACCGTACCCAGCCACCGCGCTGTTGCTCACGGACGAGCAGAAAGGCGCTTGCGTGGCCGAGCTGCGGGCGCTCATTGATGCGTGGTCGGAAGAGTTGATTCACGTACGGCCGACCGACGTTACACGGCAGGCGCGGATCGTCTCGGCCAGTGTGTTTGCGCTTGCGAAACAGTACAACTATGGCTCGGGGAAGCTCCTGGTGTCGCTCGAACCGTCGACCGTCGACGCCAATTGGTCGGCCATCGCGCTCGCGACGGTGCAAGGCGCGCTCGGGTGCAGTGCACGCATCTCCACGACGCACGCTTCGCCTCGGCTCCACATCGCATCCATCATCGTGTCCTGCTTCTGGGATGAAGCGAGGATGCTGCAAATCCTCTCCAAGTTATCAGAGCTTGGCTTGCATGTCACTGCCTTCAAGCCTGATATCTTCTCGGCCTTGCCCGGCTGCGACCTCCGGCGCCTGCACCTGCACACACTCCTCTACAACCCCACGTGCCCTTGACCACCCAAGACGCCTGGACAGAAACGCTTGGCATCTAGAACAAAAGACAAAAACGCAATAAGAAGTGATTTTTCGCCGATTACTGCAGTGCAGGTAGGCCAACGCGGCCGTCTTTGTATGGTCAACAAGCTCCATCGACATTAGCACACGGGCGAAGGCCGCGCGCCATCTTTGCGGCGCGGGGTGGAACCGGCGCGCCCTTTGACGTTGAAGTTGGGCGCGCAATGGGTCACAAAAGCCAGCTTGTCTCTTCGATTGAGTATACGCCTCTCACAATTGATACATTCGAAACCTCTGAGACAAGATACATTCCATAATTCCTGAAAGCAGGCAGCTGATTGGCCAAAATGCAAGAGAATGCCACCTTGCGACTTTTTTTGGAAGCGCCCGGTAAGATAACAAATCGGCCCATGTCCCTCACGCACAAACGGCGACCGGTGGCCACCGACGACGCGGCGAACGACGCCCATGAGCCCGCGCCGGCTCCTCGGTCGCTCTTGCCGCCGCTGCACCGCGGGCCCAAGGCCGAACAGACCAAGCCGGCGGCGACCACCGACGCCGAGCCGCTCGAGGCCACGGTCATTGACACGATGGAGCAAGCGCTCCTCAAGTGCATCCGCTACGTACTCCTCTCGATGGATCCGCAGCAGGCGCGCAACATGGCCAACTATATGCTCTATGTGTGTCACCGCGTCGGCGTCCTCTCGCCGCTCGCGCAGGCGCTTGAACAGAACGCCGAAGTTCAGCAGCTCTTGCAAAAGACGTCCGAGACAACGACGAAACACAACCAGTGGCAGCGGTGGTTATGGTCCTTCCTGGGCCGAACACCGACGGTGTCGCCGGCCTCGTCGCCCCGCGGCCAAGGTCCGCGGGATGATATGCTACTGGCGCAAGACGACGAGAACCTTGAAGTTGGCTGGGCCGTGCGGTACATGCAACGCGAAGCCAAGTTGCCAAAAGAAGTCAGCTGTCGCATGAAGCGCATGATGCACACCGAAGTGCCGCTCAACCTCTTCCGCGCCGAAGTCGAGTACGTCAAGAAGGACGCCGACGTCATTGGCTTTGTCACGCCCGATAGCTTTCCGCCGACGCCCATGGGGCGTCAAAACCAGACGCAGCGCACGACCTTTTATACCGTCGCGGTCCTCGACCTCGCGACCAAGGCGCTCCAAGACCTGCAAGCCCAGTCGTCGTCTGCCACGACCACGACGTGAGTCCACCGCCGCTGCTGCGAACATTGATTATTGGACTATAAATAGTGGCTAACTTATAAGATGCAACAAACTTCACACACAATATTGTCTTGCAAAAAACAAACCGATCCAATTACTGGCGCCGCCAAAAGAGGTACATGCCCAAGGCCGCGGCGCCGGCGTAGATCACATGATCCAAGGTCGCGTGCTCGAGGACCGTGTCGACCGCGTCATCGAGCGTCGCCGTCACAATGTCCGTCATGTCTTCGACAAGCTTTTGGCGCGCGGGCACTTGGCGGGCGAGCGCCACCTCGGATGTCGACGATGCCGTGGCGCTAATATCGTCTCCGACAACTTCCATGTCGAGGTTCGTGTCGTCCATCTCGTCGTCCGACAAACTCATCCGCTCGAGACGAACTGCAGGGACCGCGCCGTCCTGGACGAGGCGAAACACGGCGTTGCAATACTCGGCCACGACCTGTGGCGACCACGGTACACGGTCCGGGCCTTCATAAAAGCCCAAGTGACCGCCGCCGTGGGTCACCGCGAGCACAATGTTAGGGTTCGCGGCGCAGTCGTCGTACGGAATGCCTTGCTGGACGCAAATCGGGTCGTCGTACGCCGAGAGAAAGAGCGTCGGGATGGCAATGTGCTTGATGTCTAGAGAAATGTCTCGACCAGGTCGCAGTTATGGAGATGCGTACAGTGCACGCTCGATCCTTGGCGGTAAAAATCGCTGACCGTCTCGTACCTAACACGTTGCTTGAAGAAAGCAGCACCAAGACAAACGGTACCCAAACACGAGACGGGTAAAGCGGTCGTCGTACTCGCGCAGGTTCGTCGCGCTCCGGAGGTGGTCGAGGTCGACGATCGGATGGTCCTGAAACACTTCGTGGGCATTCGTCTAAGCAGAAAAGATGCCAATCCGCTAGGGGCGGGTATCAAATCTACCTGGCGAAAGACCACGTCGATGAGGTTCTTGGTCATAATGTTGTTGTACGTGAGGCGGTTGAGCCACGAGCCCATCAAGTGGTGGCTCGACGTCGTGAGGCAGTACGGGTTTCCGACCGCGACCGCCGCCGTGAGCAAGCACCGGTCGCTTTCTTCGCCCACAAACTTGGTCAAGATATTGGCCCCGAGCGAGTACCCGACGCCAAGCAGCACGCTTGTCGGCACGTGCGCTGCCCGGAGGTATGCCACGACCTCGCGCACATCCTGCGTGTACGCGGCGCAGAAGAGCTAATGGCAATACCTGAGACAATCAAAGCCTTTAAAGACGTACGCACCTTGGGCGTCGCGAGCTTGGTCTTGCCACAGCCGCGGGCGTTCATGACGACGACGCGCCAGCCGTTCTGGATCAACGCCACGACGCCGCTGCGCACGTATTTCTGCAGTTGGTGTGTGAGATCCTTCTCTATGCCGTACAGCTTGACACCTCGTGGCTGCCACCGGCAAGACCATGCAGGATGAGCTATTTGCATAGAAGGAGCCCCTCGTCAGCGTGGATGAACCAAGGCGACGTGTCGTACGACGGTTGGCTTGTTGTGTGCATTGATTGATGGCGACGCCGGCACCGACGCAGCACCTGTCGCCCAGTCCAAAGACAAGACGCCGCCGTCCGAAAGAGAAAAGAGCTCGCGGCGGTACTCGACGCGCGGCTCGTCGTTCTCGGCCGCAACGGCGAGCGTCTGTAGATGCCTATGGTAGTGTTACCATCAAATAATGCACTGCCGCAAGCTATCGTCGATGCTCGTTGTTCGTACCCATTGAAGAGGTACCAGGTTGGGTGGTATGGGGCACCTACATGTACGTCAATCAATGGCAGCTGAAGCGTGAGGATCCTCGATGGGACGACGTACGAAGACGCGGGCAGGCGGCTACAAGCCGGCGCATGACATCGTTTCCTTGGTACGTCAAGGCAGGCACACGAGCCGTGCAGTAGTAGTGCAACTTGTAGACGCCAATGAGGCTCAAGCGCACGGCGACATGGGCGAAGATCGCAAGCCACACCAGTGCAAGCAGAGTCACGACGAGGCTTGGAGGCTAGACACATACGCATGGGCGGAGACAGCTCGACGGCTTCGTACCGACGCTTCTCCTGGGCGGAGGACTGCGCTGAGGACGTCCAAGAGACCCATGCTGCTGCTCGTGATGCTTCGCGATCCCGACTGAGTGCTTGGTGCCACCAGGTCCTGACCAACGATCCTAATTAGGACCTCCAAGCGTTTCGTCAACGCACTGTCGCAAGGGCCTTGCGTAATCCATCGGTGGGATTTGCTCGTTCATCACCGTGTGAATTGTGTAAAACCTCTTTCTATCGATTTCTACGTGTGAATCACATCAGTCCGTGTGGTTTATTCATTGATACAGTATATTCGAATGCGATCTTCAAGATGCCTGCACGACACACTGAGTACAAGGCTGCGCCTGAGCACATGCCGCAAATCTGCCGCACGACGACAAGGCAAGTATTTGCGCACGAGAAGCCCCTTTCCAGCTCTAGAAACAAAGAATTGACGAAATGAACTGTGTTCCATCCTGTGCCACACAGTGTTTGAAACACTGTTTCAGTTGAAACTGCCACAGCAACAGCAGACCTGGGCTGCATCCAGTGGCTTCTCTGGGTGGACACGCCACTTTCAACGATGGTCATCACTTGTGCTGCAACAAACCAAACCGTATCGCTCTCAGTACCAGCCCAAGCGTGAGGTTCGCTGACGTCTGATGCCGAGGTCCAACCGGAGAGCTCAAGGTGGGGGCGGCAGAAGAAGCGGTCAGTTGTCGCTCATTACTGTATGGGCCGCCTGAGCAGCCCGAGAGTGCGCCTCGTCCAGGCTCGTTTTCAGTCACTTGAAGTTGGCGAGATGTTGCAACCGCACAGCTCCGGCACCGGCCGTAGCACTGACTTTGACGAGGACTTCGAGATGCTGTTGGGTGCCCCACCTGTATCGCCAGACGGGGTCGTGGAGCTGCAGGGGCAGAACGCGATGCTCGCGAAGCGTTTTAAGCGCATGCCGATAACGCAGCAGCCCGCGCCACATCGAACAAGCGGCGCCTCGAGAGCAAGATCGCACAGCTCATGACGACCGTCAAGATCTCCAGCTGGCATCAACGCGCTGTCGTCTCAAATACATGGCAACAGTCAACACGGCCTCGAAGACACGTACAAATTGTAGTCAACGTGTAAGGGCTACTCGGTAGCTTGGGCAGCCCCGGGATCGCGTGCAGCACTCGAGATTCCATTCCATCGTTGAATACCTGGTCGGTACATGATAACGACACGAACCATCCTCGTCCAGCACTGGCATCTTCCCCCACAAGAACCGTGCAGAGAGAGAAATAGAGAGAAATGTGTGTGTATGTGCTGGCGGAATAGATACATGGACCGATGGTTGCCTATTCTGCAAACTCGGAGACGTGGTGGTTGTACTCGCGCTTCTTCTGGACGACCTTCTTTTGCTTCTTCTTTTCGATCTCTTCGTCGACCTCTTGGCGGGCCTTGCGCTTCTTGAGGGTGCCTTGCTTGGCCGACTGACTCGCTTTCGTCACCTTGGACGAGGCCGGCGGCTCGCGCAGCCCAAAACTCTTGGCAACGTGGCCAAAGTGGAGGCTGCGCACGTGAAAGTACTGCCGCGTCTCACTACACGACCACATTAGATCCTTCGATCGGTTCATTTTCAAATGCAACCGACCTCGCGTGGGTCGCATAACTGCGCACAAACGACTGGAACGCTTGGCACGCCATGTCAAAGAGCTCCGTGTCGGCGAGCACCGACTGCTCAAAGAGGTACTGCAGCTCGTGCACGATGACTTCATGCAGCGCCTTCTTGCTCGACGTGCGGAACTCGCCCTTGGATGCCGACCGTGCGATCGTCGCCTCGTAGTTGAGCGCCGTGAGGCTGAGTCCGTTGGCTTGGAGATGCTCGCAGTACGCTGCCTCGGACGGCAGCAAAAACAGCAGCGAGTTGCCGACCTAGATCCGTGTCAAGGTCGACCCAAAAGACATATATTTCGTCGCACCGCGCCACTGCGGGCCGTGCGACCGACACGGTGGACGTAATCGCGCGTCTCGGTCGGCGGGTCGTACTGCACGATCCATTGCACCTACGCCACCACGAAGCATATGAGAGCGCGCCATTTGAGATCGTAGATACCGTGGGCAGGTTGAGACCGCGCGCGGCCACGTCCGTGCAAAAGAGGATACCGGATGCTGCTTTGCAAAAGGCTTGGAAGGTCGACGTGCGTTCTTGCTGGTTGACGTTGCCGTGGAGGCGGAAGATGGCGGGCCCAAACATCTCGTTGCGCTGCGGCCACTGGCACTTTTGAAACAGCGTCGTCATAAAGTCGACGGCATCGCAGGTTGAGAGGAAGACGACGATCTTGGCCGACTTGGCCTTCTTGCATTCCGAGCGGAGAAAGCAGCTGAGGGCGCAGAGACGCTGCTCGATCATAAACTGCTGGATGAGCTGCTCGGGCGTCGCGTACACGGCTTGCCTATTAAAGTACATAAGTGCTTGGAAATAAGAAAAAAGATGACAATCGCACTCTTTCGTGTCGGCGTCAATAAAGCGCGGCGACGTGAGACTCATGGCCGCGAGGCGCTCGACGCCCGAGTTGATGGTCGCCGAGACTAGAATGGTCTGCCGCACCACGTCGTCGTCTTTCTTGGACGCAATGCAATCCAGGATCTGCGTGATCGAGCGCTCGAACCCCATGTCCAAGAGCCGGTCGGCTTCGTCCAAAATGAGAAACTCGAGGCGGTTGTACTGGAACGAGTGCGTGTTGGTGAGATGGTCGACGAGCCGACCGGGCGTCGCGACCAGAATCGAGACGCCTACGCACGAGATATTGGTACCATTTGCAGAAGACGAACGCACCTTTGCGAAGACGCGCTTTTTCCGACTTCTTCTTTTTACCACCAACGACGCTGCCCGCCACAATGTACACGGCGACCTTGAGCAGCCTAGAGAAGACATAGGGCTACACGCGGGATAGAAGATTGAGATGCATACCGCTCGAGGGTCTCTTGGATCTGCGTGCAGAGTTCGCGCGTCGGCGCGAGGATCATCGCGAGACAACCGTCGGTGCGCGAGATGCGCGGCGTCTTGGACATGAGCCGGTGGACCATTGGAAGACAGAAAGCGAGTGTCTTCCCGGACCCCGTCTCGCTTTTGAGGAGGACGTCGCCGGACGCCGAAATGGCCGGCACGCTCTTGACCTGCACGCGCGTCGGCTGGTCAAAGCCAAAGCCGCCGTTCTCCTTGGGCTTGGTCAAGATCGACACCAAGTGCGGGTGGAGCTGCATCGCTTCAAATGTCGTCGCGGAGAAGATCTCCTTGGACGTCGACGACCGCAGCGGCGCCTCGTGGACCGTGACCTTGGTCATGTCGAGTGTTGGACGCAGAAGTGCTTCCGCCGAGTACGCTTCCTTGTTCGGGTTACGACGCGACCCGATCTTGCCGTCCTTTGGCTTGGGCGTGTCTACGACCTTCTTTTGCATCTCGGGGATGTCTTGGATTTTGGTCTGCGTCACGACCGGCTTGGCGTCGGGCACAGCCTTGGGCGGGGCCTCCTCCTCCTCGTCCGACGAGGTATCCGGGTACGCGTTGGCCGGCGCTGCCTTTGTCGGCGAAGCAGCCTCGGGCGTGGGCTTGACCTTGGGCTTTACGACCGCGCGCACTGGCTTGGCCGTCACGGGCTTGGCCGGCGCCGCCTTGGCCGCCTGCGCCTTCTTGGCCTTGACCTTGTTCTGGCGGAACTTGACGATCTTGCGCTTCGCGGGCTGCTTGGGGCCCGACCCGACGGCGATGTTCAACGAGAAGCCTTCGTCCATCGCTCTTCCTGCTTGTGATCTCGCGTGTTGAAGCTCCGCGGGCTGCCAATAAAAACCCAATCGCGGTACAAGAACACATGTTCTTCAAACGAGGGTCATGCACTGGTGGCGCCACGTAAGACGACGCATCCATCATCGTCGCAGACTTTCTGTGCGTCAACAGGTATTGAATGACTGCGATATTAACTATACTCTTTAGCTTGATGCCCATGCTCGATTCGTTCAGTGTGGCCTCGGCTACACTGAGTTTCAACCCAGCGGTTCTCACACCAGACCAAGTCAAGCTCGCAACCCGATTCAAAAGCCGTCCGAGCTCAGCAGAAGTACTCGGCCATTGAGTAGACCACACCGGTCATGCCACACGATGTCGCTTTCTCGGGAAACCGCGTGCAGTTTGGTGCCTGAAGCGACCTCAGCAACGCGGAGACGCTGCTCAAAAACCGCTCTCCGATCGACTAATTTTAGTCCGTCAAGCATTGATCGAGAGCATGGCCCAGTGGCGTCCCGACATCTTCAGTGCCACCGCGAAGGCGCCTCAGCATTGTGTGCTGGACCTCTTGTGCCGGAAAGAGATTGTGTACGGCAAGGCCTTGTCGATGGAGCCCGTGCTGTGTCGTGTTGCTGCCTTCTTAAATGCCGAGGTCTGGTCATGTGAACCCTCTTCTGCACGTATGATGACGTCATGATCTAGTACTGCATTGGGCACGACACGACGCGCATGGCGTTGGCAACGATCCTCATGCAGCTCTCGACCAAGCACTACAAGCTCGTGCGAAAGAACCCTTACTTCTTCCGAGCACTGGTCGTTCGGCGGCCCAGCGTTGCTAAAGTTGCCAAGCTCCACGAACATCTTCGTTCGGCATCGAATAGGATCGAGTACGAGGCTTCAACACCTCATCTAGAGCTCTATGGACCGACGCTGCAGGCGCTTGACGTCTCGTTTTGTCACGAGGTGATCGACGACGCGGCGCTCGCGTCGATTGCGTCGCAGTGCCCGCGACTACGCCACGTCGTTCTATGGGCCTGTCACCAGCTCACCGACCGAGGTAGTGTGACGCGACTGAAACGGGTGTTGAGGTGCGTCCATAAGGCCTCATGGCGCTCGCCACGCACTGTCGGTACCTCGACTTTCTCAACTTTGGTGGCTGCCGCCACGTGACCGACGTCGCCCTCGATGCGATCGGGCAAGAGCTCTTGTACCTGGACAACTTGCATCTGAGCGGCTGCAAGAACGTCTCGGACGCAGGTATCGCTGTATTGGCCACCTACAGCCGCGTGCTCTTGCAGCTAACGCCCGCCGACGCCGCGAGCTTTCGCGTGCCCCAAGAGGTACTTCTTTGGTGGTATCCTTGTTCCAACCGGAACGTGTAGTTTGACTTGCACCACATGAAGACGCAGCTGCGCAAGTTTGACTGCAAACGCGTCGCGTACCGTGAAGCTGCGCCGGGCGACCACGAGCTCGTGCTCTCGTTTGGGTCGCGCCCCAAAGCAGTTGGGCTTTGGTGCACCTTGGACAGCAAGGGGCGGCAAAGCAAGTATGTGCCCAAGCTCACGTCATTTGATGGTGCGACGACGTACCATGGGTACTACCAGTGCATCTCGCTCAAGGTGCTCAACGTCACGGGCTGCGACCGCGTCACGGACGCCGGCATTCAAAAGCTCCGGGACCACCACGTCCAGCTAAGCGTCGTGCGTTGATAACGCGAGAGAATTCCCTTGGCGAACTACTCTACGCTGAAGAGTTCGCTTTTCGCTTTTTCCATACTACACAACAGAACATCGTCTCGGCAAGAGAAGCATGCTGCGCAGTCGATGGTGGATGTGGCTCTCGGTGACAATGTCGGCCGCACAGGACACTGCAAATCCGTTCGCATCGAGCCCAACACTGCGCCTCGCACAGTACATGGCGCTCATCGAGGCGTCGCCAGCGTCGGTTGCGCCACTGCCTGGCGGACTCGAGCGCTTGGATCTTCGCGTGTACCTCACGCAAGCCTTGCAAATCAGAGGTATGAATGTGAGCGTCGTAGCATTTCTGGCCCAGCACGCGACGCTGGTGTCTGAAGTCCAGCGACCCGAGTCTGGACCCTCGCAAGCTCTGGACGAAGGATAAGGGTCATTTGACTTCACAAGATTAGATGCTTGTATTTATGACTAGGCTCTGTAGAAATAGTACGTAGCAATAGCATTGGCCTTGGCACATCCACGATGCAAAGCTGGGCCGCTCTGTTGGATGGTCGTCGTCTCGTGCCCAAGTGAAATGGGACGACGCCTGTGCAACGTGATTACCAAATGGGGCAAACGTTTTACCTCATGGTTTTACCCACGGATTTCGTGAAGTTTCCCCACGGCTGCGCGCGTTTGATTGGCCAACGCGTAGAGGTTGATGCCAATCCTCATTTCGGCTTTGGCGTTGAAGGATGCTTGGGTGTAGCTGCTGCTGGACGACGTACTTGGTGGGCGCCTGCGTGGGCCTGCCCTTGGTACGCTCTCGCCTCCTGCCTGCCATACTCACGCCATGCTAGCTGAGCTACCTTTGGAGCTTTCTCACCGCGCCAGGGTTCAAGGTCGATGGCAAGCACGTCTTCATCACGGGTTCGCCTCGCCCGTCATCATCGTAGCCGCAATGACAACACGTTGCCTAGGCGGCAGTACGGGCTTGGGTCTCTCGACGGCCAAGAAGTACGCGCAAGCCGGTGCCAAGGTCACGATCGTCGCGCGGTCGGCCGATGCGCTAGCCAAGGCCAAGGACGAGATCACGGTTGGATCCTTCTCTGGACGCAGTCACCAGACGAGACCTCTCTAGGCGGTTGCCAAGCACCCGGTCTTTACGCAGTCGTGCGACGTCACGGACTACGCAAGCGTCCAGAAGGCGGTCGCGGACGCCAACACGTTCCATGACCGCGTCACGGACCATGTCGTGTGCTGTGCGGGTACCGCGATGCCGGGCTACGTGCTCGACCAAGACATCTCGATCTTCCGCAAGGAGATGGACCTCAACTACTTTGGTGTTGTGCATGCCACCAAGGTAGACGCACGATCGTCCCGACCTCGCTCAGGTCCACGTAGGCGGCGCTGCCGGCGATGGTGGCGCGCAACCAAGGCGGCACATTAGTCTACGTGAGCTCGGGCTGCGGCCTCATCTCGTTCATTGGGTACTCGCAGTACTGCCCGACCAAGTTTGCCGTGCGTGGTTTCGCCGATGCGCTTCGGTAGCTCGCCACGTCATCATTCTCATATTCCAACATATTTCTGCGTATAGGAACGAGCTCCAGCTCTACAAGATGAACGTGCACGTCTTCTACCCGGGCAACATTGACAGCCCTGGCTTTGTCCAGGAGAACAAGTCCAAGCCGGCCGAGTGCAAAGAGATTGAAGGGTCGGCCGAGCTCGTGAGGTACGACACTGCATCCATGAGCACGGCCAAATGGATTTGCGGCGTGTAGCCCGGACCAAGTCGCACAGAGCATGATCGATGGCGTCGCGAACGGCGTGTATGCGATCACCAACGACCTCGGCATCTGGGTTCTTCGCATCCTTGGCAACGGCATCAACCCGCGCAAGAACACACCGCTCGAGATGCTTCTGATGCCGGTGATCACCCTCGTCCAGGTCGGCTACGTCTTTTACATGGACTACGTTGTCAGCGCGTCGCGCTCGGCGCGCGCCAAGAAGGAAAAGACCAACTAAGCAATGGTGCAAATGCATTGCTAGACCGGTAGGTTGACGTGTAGTGTCATTCAACCTTTGTCACCCGACGACGTGTTGCTGCGAGATGGATGGCGACGGGCCTGTCGCCAGTGCGACACCGTGGGATGGCTCAGCATATCGTCGCATGCATGCATACGTCTCTTTCTAGCCTCGCGCGATGGCCGATGGCCGCTCTCTGCACAGACCAGCAGTCTGCGCCACAGCCGACGTCGTCCATGCCACCTGCCACCTGCCATCGATGCACCACCGGACCACGTGCCTCCTCCCGATTTCGGCGGTCGGATTTTTGGATCGGAAAATATCTCTGGTTGGGAGAGGCCGCGCAGCTGAATTTAATAAAATAATAAAATGACCGAAAAGCCAAAACTGGAAGCAAACTCCAATTTGCCATGGCCATCGTCGTCTTCGAAGCTGCGACCCGCGCCGCCGCCGAAGCCCACGCGGGCGCCGAGCACGAGCTCATGAGCATCGACGCGTTCGAGGCCAAGCCCGAGAACAGCGTGGCGTCGGTCGTCTACTTTGGCGGCGCGAGCCTGCCTGCCATCTACCGCGTGCTCCAAGCCGGCGCCAGCGTCGAGGCGTATGTTGCGCTTGACGGCAACGACTCGGAAGCGCAGAAGAATGGTCTTCTGATGCAACTTCTGCTGCAAGGCTTTGTCAACACGAACGTCGACGTGGCGGCGACGGGCCTGCGCCTCACGGGGACGAAGCCCGGCTTTACCGAGGGCGCGAGCGCTGCCGTCTTGATCAAGCCGGTGCAAAAGTCCAAGTAGGCTTGTCCGCGATGCAACATGAATGCTGAGCGCGCAAATCTTGTAGGTGGACAGTGGTGGCCGACGAAGACGACGACATGATTGACGAAGATGACTTGCTCGACGACACGGACGAGGTGCTCAAGGCCGCCAAGATGGACTGCGGGACTGGCAAGGACGGCAAGAAGCGCCGGTGCAAGGACTGCACATGCGGGTATTACGTCCAACGCTATCTGAATCTCTCTTGACACGTGTGCGTTCTTTAGGATGAAGGATGAGAACGACGAGCCGGCCATGTCCGAGGTCGACCTGCAGCTCCTCGTCTCCAACTGCGGCAGCGTACGCGCCTCTATCCTCTAAGCGTCCAGCTGACCTCTCGCCACACGTAGTGCTACAAGGGCGATGCGTTCCGCTGCGGCAGCTGCCCCTTCTTGGGCCAACCCGCTTTCAAGCCCGGTACGTCGCTGCACGCAACGAAGATCGGACCCGTTTTTATGCACACTCCTCCACCATTAGGCATGGGCAAGCTCGTCCTCAACCTCGACAACTCGGACGACATTTAAGCGCCTTAATTCATCTTGCACTGTATTCCTTCAAAACTTCTTGTGCACAACTTAGAGGTGCAATGCCAGCGCGGCGGCCACAACGACACCAAGGGTCATCGTCGCAGCGTCCGCGTGGTTAGCCGCAAGCTTGGGCGCCCCGGTCGACGAGCCCGTCGTCGGCATCTTCGTCTTTGTTGGCGGCACGATCGTCGTGTCCGTGGCGTTGCTGTCTGTTTGGAGCGTGGGCTTGCCTCTGATGATGGCGTGGCCGGGGCACATGGTCGTCTGCGTCAAGTCGGGGCAGAGCATGTCGGTGACTTCGTCGGCGGCCCACACCGAGTCCTTTAAGCTCGAAAACTCTTTGGGGCACGCCGGCGGCGTCGTCACCGTCGGCGTGTACTCGCTCATGGCCGGCAGAACCGCGGACGCGCCCTTGTACGCCTTGGCCAAGCTCTCAAAGTTGGGCATGCGGTTGAAGATGCACGGCGTCGTCGCGTGGTCGCACGTCGCCGGCGAAAAGTACCCGAGCCCATAGTTCTGCGCACCGTACGACGTGAACGGGTACGGCGCATCGGCCTTGGAGTTGGCGTTTTCGGTCGAAAACTCAAACGCGAACCCGCCGGTAAAGACATCGGCAAAGTCTTTCGAGAGAAGCCAGGACGCTTGGACCCACGAGCGCTGGGCGTCGTAGCCCTCGACGGTCGGGAAGGCCTTGTTGAGGCAGCCAAATTCCGTGAGCATTGTCGGGCCCGCGAGCTTGTAGCTCTGAAAGTCCTTGTGGAGCTGCGCAAAGCTCGCGCCGACGGTGCCGGCGGTCGCCTTGGGGTCGCACTGCAAGTAGACGTTGATGCCATACCCTAATAATCGATGGGATCAGCCACGACGCCATGACGTGGCAACACGCAGTGTACATTCGGCGTTCTCGAGCGTGTCTTTGGGGTCGGTGCGGCAGTTGTAGTAGAGCGCGTTGGGCGACCGGTTCGTGTCGGCGAGGACGACGCCAACGGGGATCGGGCGCATGTTGGCGCTGCACGAGTGGATGAACGCGCGCATGTCGCGGATGAACTTCTTCTGGCATGGGCCATTGATTGTCGGGTCCTTGACGACGTGGTTGACTTCGTTGCCCGCGCTGAAGGCCTAGTACGCATGGATGAGCCACCGCAACTTGAACACGAGGAGGACGTACGAGCACGTTGTTGTACTTGGCAAACGCCGTGATGATCTGCTGGCCGCGCGTCTTGAGCGCCGCCGGGTAGCACGTCGGGAACGGCTCGGCCGTGATCGCGCAGCCTTCGCAGCTAAGTTACGAGTCGAGTGAGATCGATGGCAGCGTCGAGAATGATGCGGCAACGTCATACCTCGCGCCGAGGTCCACGAGCACGTAGATGCCGGCGGCCGAGAGTGCGCACATGAACTTGTCGTGGGGCTTGGACGGGTCGATCGCGTACAAGCGGATCGTGTTGATGCCGAGCGCCGTGAACTCGGCAATGTGCGGCAACCAGATCGCCTCGAGATCGTCCGTGAAGAAGTCGAGGTTGTTGAGGTCGAGAAGGCCCGTGTTTGGACGCGGGTAGTAGTCGACGCCCTTGGCCTGGAAGGGCTTGCCGGTCTCGTACTCGAACATGCGCTGGCCCTTGAGCACGATCGGGTTGAAGGGCTTCGTCGCCTCGAACGCGAGCGCCGACTTGCGCTGGTGGACGTCGGTCGAGGCGGCGAGCGCGAGGCTGGCGGCAATAGCAACACAGGTCGTCTTCATGGCTGCTGCTGTGGATGAGGCGGCGGATTGGGTTGTGCCAGCCAAGCGCCCCAAATTGCACCATGTGGTCGACGTCCATACAAATCCAAGTGTCTTGGGCGGGGTGGGAAAGGCGACAGTAAAATTTCAAAAAGATCGCACGGTGGAATACCTGTATCCTGTGTGGCGATCGGCGCAAGGCTGGCTGACGACTGGTGCGACAACGCTCGTCCAGTCTTGCTCGTCCTGTCAGCACCTCTCGCACAAGAAGAGAGCGGGGCCGCGCGGCTGGACTATAGTACTACGAGCTTCGATGTGCGACGCGGCCTGGTGCAGGTTGCATTGCACGCATCCAGTAAAATGCAGTGTACTGCTCTCTGAACCCATCACATGGACTGCTAGAACTGTGCTCGGTTGTTGCACTGCAGCTCTACACTGCTGTAGCAACCATACACGTAGGTAAGATCAGGAATCTTATAACGTCTTGACGGCGTCATTTAGATCTTGGCCATGATCTGCTTGAGCTGCGGCGTCATGTCGCCGTCGGCTTCCGGGTCGGTGGCCTTGGCAAAGTCGGTAATGTGGCTCCACTGCGCGGCCACGTCTTCGATCTCGATGTCGCCGTCAATGTTGAAGAAGTGGCCTTCACTGCGCACGTACTTGACCTGCGCGGTCCAGCCGCCGCCGCTCTCAAAGATCTGGCCCGTCACCGGCGCCGACTCGTGGCAGAGGAACGCGACCGTCGGCGCCACGTACTCGGGCTTCCACTTCTTGACCACCTAGCACCACTTGTCACTGCATCGAGGCCGGCATGGTAGATTGTTGTACCTCGTCCGGAAGAATCGTGGCCGTCATGCTCGACCCCGCGCCCGGCGCGACGATGTTGACCTTGATGTTGTTGCGCGCACCTTCCTTGGCGAGCGACTTGCTGAGACCGACAATCCCCATCTTGGCCGCCGCTAGCACATGACGTGGCACCCTGCGCTGCCGCGATGGGATACGTACAGTAGTTGGTCTGCCCGACTTGGCCGTACAAGCCGTTCACGGACGTGATGTTGACGATGCGACCATACTTTTGATCGCGCATGTATGGCCACGCCGCACGCGTCACGGCGTACGCTAATTCAATCGCTGTGAGCACGAGGTAGACGCGGAAAAAGCACCTACTGCCCTCGAGGTGGACGGCCTTGACGAGGTCCCAATCGCTCTGCTTCATCTTGTGGAAGACCACGTCGCGGAGGATACCCGCGTTGTTGACAATGATATCGATGCGACCAAACGTGTCGATGGCCGTGGCCACGACCTTGGCCCCTACATGGATTCAAACGATGATGCCAACATATCGTCGGTAACGATACCGTCCGTGACCGAGTCGTAGTTGGCTGCCGCGACGCCGCCTACGCAATGCGTGAGAGAAATCGTCTCGTCGTTCCTACCCTTGGCTTGAATCTCCTTGACGACCAAGTCGGACGGGCGGTCCGTGCTGCCAGCAGCGGCGCGCCCCACGTCATTTACGACGCTAGCGCACGCCAGTGGGTGAGGCAGTCATCGCTTCGGGACGTACACTTTGGCGCCGCGGGCGGCGAGGAGAAGGGCGTAGGCGCGGCCGAGGCCACCGCCGGCGCCGGTCACGATCGCCACTTGTCCGTCGAAGCGCAGGCTCATCTTGTCTGCAAATTGATATCTGCGAGCGGCGATGGAATCGCTCCTGATTTCCAATCAAACTCTAAGAACGGATACTTCAACAGCAATATCGTTTGTGAGAGGAAGATTTGTCTCGTGTGCCGAGCCAGCAATCAAGGGACATGGATGTTGGTTGACGTGCACGGACTCATAGTGTATTAAGTGATGCTTGGACTCGAACATGGACCTCGATTCCGACGACGCGCCTTCTGCGGCGGTCGCGTTTGGCATAGAACCAGTTAGGCCCTCCTGGCTGCGTGGTGGCGCAGTAGCCTCGGCACAGATCCTTGTGATTGGTAAGAACATGCTGAGCGTCAACAACCCGCTGTGGTTTCACAGCCTCCGGAGGCGGCTCCGCGCCAGAATCCTTCGACTGGTTCAGTGTCCAGTCGCTCGCACATCTAGTCCAACCCCGTCTTCTCAAAGAAGCGTTTGGTGAGGCATGTCGATAGCGGCGTGGATGATTTTTGTACGTCGGGCGTTGAAGTTTCAGACGCGCTCGAAATAGCGCAGAAAGGCCGTCATGAACCACACGGCGGGGACGCGGCTCTTCCAAGCCACGGTCACGTACCTCCGTAGCCAGCCGATGCTCACAGAGAAGGAGGTCCAGGATCTCCTTATGCTCAAAGAGTACGTCGACCGAATACACCGGTTCTACCGGCGGCGAGGCAGCACCACGAGCAGCTCCAAGGCGAGCTTTCTCACGGACAGTCTCCGGCCCGTGCACCGGCGGTCCGTCGGTGCGTCTTTTACAAAGGCATCACTTATTTCGTCATAGTACAAAACCACTAGGGTCGTCAGTCTCGAGCATGAACGGGCTCATGCCGACGCGGGCCGAGGGCGGGCTCACGACAGCAACCATCAAGGGCATTCTCGCAGCCGTCGACCCATACATTGAGCTCACCGAGTACGACATCAACACGTCCGTGTTTGAAAAGATCTTTGGCTCCACGGTCGCGTACTACTGGTCGCTCTACAAGCCCGGCGCGGGGCGCATCGCAGTTCTCGCCGTCGCGTGGCTCGTCTTTTACAGCACGCCGCTCGAGGCAATGGTGCTCCCGGCCATCTCGCTTCTCATCACGCGGCTCATCGCGACCGGCTGCATTGGCTGGCTCGTGCTCTACTTTTGGTCGCAACTCAACTGGCGCATGACGCTCGAGGCACTGAGCTACTTTGACGCGTGGTTTTTCGTCACCCATGCGGTACACTCCTTTTGGCTCGTGGCCGCCGTCTCATTTCTTATTGGTGTAGGTGCTCTACGCCAGCGCCTACGCGGCCCTCTGCGCATTCGACCCCGTGACGATTGCGTTCAACGTCATGGGCGTCCTCGGCTTCTCGGCCATCATCGCGTACGACGCGTACCCGCTCTACTCGCGCCGCACCGCGCGCTACGTGCTCGTGGTCATCCTCCTCATCATGCTCGCCATGATGCTGCAGATGGGCCGCCGGTCCAACGTTTTGAACCGGGATTTGTACCTTGACCTTGCCCATGGCTTGGTCAATACGACGTGCACGGTTCGCCTCAACGGCACGCTTGTGCCGTGCGAGGCGTACTTGACGTGGGGCTTCAACGTCTACGACTTTGCCTTTCAGCGGCTCCAGATCCTCGCGATCTACATGACCCGGAATACGTACTGGGCCTTTCGCGCGCCGCGCTACTGCGTCATCATCAAGTCGCGCGTCGCATTGGAGGAAGTGCCTGTCCACGCGATCTCGGTGAGCCAGGTGAGCACGGGCATGGACGTGTACCGACGCAACTCGCTCGTGCGGACGTCGCTGGCGGCAATGTCATCGGCGCCCGATCTCAATACGATGCTACAAGTACCGCCCACCAATACGAATCTGCCGCCGATGAACGAAGCGTCGACGCGCCGCCTGTCAGCGTCGTCGTCGATCAAGGTCGCGCCAATCATGGGGCTCGTCAAGAACAACACGCTCAGCCTCTCGGTATCCAAGCAAATCGAGCGCGCCAGCTCCAACCGGCGAATGAGCGCCAACCGCCTTCTGAGCGCCAACCGACTCTTGGGCTCCAGCCGACTCATGGGCTCGGTGCTCCAGCGCATCATTCCCGAGGGCGACGCGCGCCTCGAAGACGACCGCCACGATGCCACGACGACCATGATCCAGCCGATTCCGCAAGTCCACGTACCACCCAACTTGCCCGAGTTGCCGCCCATGTCAATGCAATCGGCCAAGAGTTTAACGCCCGCACGCTCCGGTCCGCACTCGTTTCGAGGCATGCCGCCCGAGCTGGCCGACTTATGAGTACTAGCAATGACTCTAGGAAGAGCGTAATGGTCTCAATCACGCTTGGCGCCCGTCGCTTGCTTGAAAGACGCCCGGGACGTCGACGGGAACGACTTGTAGAGGAGGAGGCAGCCGACGATGCTCACAAAGAGCGTCACGGACGTCACGATCCGTCCGTCCGAGAGGTTGCCGACAGGAATCTCGACCGAGACCGCGGGCTGGGCCACGGGCAAAACGATCCTACCACAGCAGCGAGTTGCATGAGCCATTATCATTTTGCTCGACGCAGCCCGTACGAAGTCCACTCGACGATGGAGCTGGCAGTCATACTCGCCTATATATCCATGCGTGCTCGTGACATGAACGATGTGGCAGTGACGCGTACGGTCGTGCAGCGCACATAGAGCGACGGCGCCACGACCACCGACGGGCGATACAACTTGTCCTTGGCCGGCGACTGGTACCGAAAGTGCACCGGGTACTCGACACGGAACGCGCCTGTGGGGGGCCTAGACAAAACAACATTTGTTCAGGGTCATCATGTCAACGGCAGTTGGTCATACAAGGTAGCGACGAACGCGACAACGTGCTCGGTCGAGATGGCCGCGGGCCGCTCAATCTCAATGTGTTTGCTGAACGCGAGAAGCTCAAATGCCCCAAACCGTTCGAGGCGCTACATGTCAAAACGCTCTAAACGCTCCAAAAGTATCGACTCGCAACGTACGCGCAGCTCGTCCATGTCGGCGTAGGCTGTCTGGGGCAACGGCTGCACGAGAAGGAGCGAGCACGTCTCCGAGTCCTTGAGCGTCGCGTCGACCGTCAAGTCGACGGCCAAGGTCTGGTGAAAGCCTAGGATAGTGCAGATACCGTGTGGACTGTCGCGGTGGACGCGTGACGCACCGTGCCCGACGATCGACGTCTTGACGCCCGACACGAACGACCTCGAGCGCGGCGCCACATACGTGTTGCGGTCCTTCGTGTCCAGCTCCAAGAAGGACACGAGACCTACACGAGGCGTGGGACGAGCAGGCATGACACGCGGCGTGTACCGTTGCTGCCATCGATCGACTCGACGACGGCGACGCGCACATCCTTGGTCGTCGCCGAGAGCGTGTCAGCCGTCTCGGCCACTTGACGCAGCACAACTTGGGCCTAATCCCAATGCATTTCTCAGCACACAAAGCGTCCGTCGTACGTGGGAGCGATCGATGGGAGCAAGGGCGAGATGCGTGTAGATGTGCGTCCACGCAGCGACCAAGGCAGTGGGGAACCGCCTACGCGAACATTCTTGCGCCGGTGCGGAGGCCATCATGCACGTACGAGGAGAGCGCGCGCTGGAGAGGGGACGCGCCGGTGGCGGCAAAGAACGACGGCGTCGACACGTCGTGCAGCGCGAGGACGTCCCGCGACGCCACGTAGCAGAATGGAATCGACGCGCGCGATGCATTCGTCGCGTACGCCGGCACGTCGCACGAGGCGTTGGCAAAGCCTAGCACCAGATATATAGGTGAGGACTCGGCCGTATAGAGCGTGGTGGAGTGCATACGGTAGGAGCTGGTCGGCGCAAAGGGCGTCCCGAGGAGGTGCGTCAAGAGGGCCGTCGCGTTGCCTTGGACCTCGAGCGGCGTGGCGCTTGACGCTGGAGCCGGCGTCACGCGCACGTGGATGCCTTCGGAGCTCACTGGCATGGCTTGCTCTTGCGCGAGGTACTCGACCCACGTCGAGCTCGGCGCCGCCACGGACGGCACGAACGCAATGTCGACCGACGCAATCGCAGCGGGCCATGCCTAGTCCATCGCATGAGTCTTCGCTAGATGAAAGATGCACGCATGTACCTCCAGGGCGAGCTCGAGCGACGCGTCCAGCACGCCCACGATAGCTGCGGTCGGCGTCACCACGTTGGCGCCTACGCGGCCATGAGACTCGAGCGACGCTGGCAGTCGTTGCGTACCCGAGATCGACAGCTTGGCATCGACACTGGATGGCCACAGCATGAGCGAGCTGCTGCCGTCATCTTGGGCAGCATGCGCGAACGGAGCGAGGAGCCCGAGGGCTGCGAGGAGCGCTGCCGGGCGATGCATGGTCTGGGCGTCTTCCGTAATCGCGTTCGGGTGGATCAAGCAACTGAAAACAGGATGACGCCCAAGGATCTGAAGGAGTTTCTCTTAAAAAGCGCTCGTAACGCTTGAAAGCTTTCTTAATGCTCGCAAACGTGGCATCAGCTCACGTCACGCACAACACGCCCGACGATGCGGCCATGGAAGAGACGCCAACGCCTGTGCAGAGAGCGTGACATCCCATCGTTGCAGTCACCCAGCAACGGTTCTGCCATGGCCTAGAGCACCGAGCCGCAGCCACTGCACCAGTAGAGTATTGATTGTGTACTCGTGATTCGGCAGCGCCTTCGTCATCTCCACCGACGATGTTGCCTCGACCTGTTCGTGCACTGCTGTCGTAGCTCGCGTACACCGGTGTACAATTTCTCGTCGTTCGCCGCAAGAAGCCGCCACGCTGGACGGCGCTGCATAGATGTCGGGTGCAGTGGGCTGTCGCACGAGGCCAACACTCTGGTGCTGGGTGTCTCGCCCAGCGGGGTCGAGCTTGGCGTCGTCCTCAGACGTCCGTGTACCGCGGTAGCCTTGTGGACGGGCCCAAGCTGATTCGTCGCGGCCTTGCCGGCGTCCTATCCCACGCTGCTACAATTGTACTACGCTTTTTTATTAATAAAAAGAGCGTCTTCGCCGAGCTTCTCGCCGCCCAGCTCGTCCTGCCAAACTCCTACCAGTAATAGTGACTGCATCTCGTAGGCAGAGGTCGCAGCAGGTTGCTGCTGCTCGTCGAAACATTCGCGGCCTATTTTTCATTTTGAGACGTATATCTTGGCGGCTGAATAGGATCGCAATTTTTGCACCCATGTGGTGGCCACCATGCAGCAGACGGCGTTGGACACAGAGAGGCAGCACTTGCAATTGACAGTTTTCAATTTCCAGTTCCGAAGAACGATGAAGGTAGCGACCATGCTTGCCTTGACGACGGCCGTCGCAGCCCAGACGTGCACCAAGCTCACGGACCCCGCGAGCCCGGTGAACGCGCTCCTCACCAAGACGCTCGGCGCGTCCAACGAGACGGAGAGCGTCATGGCGGTCCTCAACCAGCTCCCGGCGAGCGTCCTCACCTGCTTTGGCTCGATCGACGTGACGAGCGCGACGACGGCCCTCTTGGCCGCTGCCGGCGCCGATCCCAAGTGCCCGGCCACGCTCGCGTGGGTCACGACGCTCATGAACGGCGCCAAGCCGGACGCGCCCAAGACGGACGACGCTCCTTGGTACAGCGCCAACTTTACGGACGCCGACATTCAAAAGGTGTGCACGCCCCTCACGACGAGCGCGACGCCGTGCTTCAACAACGCGATCGTGCCCGCGGTCTCCAAGCTCATCGAGGGCAATGCGTGCTGCACGGACCTCGTCGCCGACATCAAGACCAACTTTGGTCAATCGCTCTCGGCGATGCTTGCGGACCTCTTCAACAAGGCCGTCGATGTCGCGTGCTTGGTGCAGACGCCGGGCTTCTCGACGCCCAACCAGACGTGCGCCTACTCGCTCTCAAGAGCTTCCTCACCAACGTCAACAGCTACGAGACGCTCCTCAAGAACGGTCTCGCCGTGACGCAGATCCCCAACGACCAGGGCTGCGCCGCGGTCGAAGGCAACCCGTTCAAGACGACGACCGGCGTCGCTGTCTCGGACGTCTTCATCAAGCCGATCGTGCCCGGTGCGTGCGCCAAGCCCGTCGATGCGTTCGTGACGTACATTGCTTCGTACCCGATCGTCAAGACGTTCAAGTACGGCAACATCACGATCAACGACCTCTTTGCCGAGGGCAAGTGCGTCAAGGGCTCGGCCGTTAAGACGCTCTGGGCCGACATTCCCATGGAAAACGCGATGAAGGTCGGTCTCGACACGATCATCAACGACAACGTGTGCTTCCACATTGCCAACGGCTTCACGGGCACGTGCAAGACGGTCTCGAGCCTCTCGGGCACGCCGGCCGGCGGCGACAAGTCGACGACGACGACCGCGCCGACACCCAAGCCCTCGTCCGCGGCCTCGCTCTCGGCGTTTGCCACCATGGCCGGTATGGCGGTGCTTCTTATTGCTGCGTAAGCCATCAGAATATGAAATATGTTGCATGCAAACGAATCGTTTTGCTTTGTTGTCCTCTGTACGAAGAAACAATCTCCTCTACCAAGATGTCAGTCGTCGTCACCGTGTCTGACGAGAGCCCTGGCGTCGCGGCTGCAGATCATCGGTCCAGTCGCCGACCTTCATGTCGAATCGCATCCACCGACCACCAGAGTGGAGTGAATCGCATTCGGTCGGCGTCCCTAGAACGTTGGTCAGCGTGAGCTAATGCGACCACAACATTCTGCGCAATTCCGAGAACTGGCCAGCGACAAGCGCGTGAATGCTCCAGAGCCGCAGCGCTCCGGCCCGGCCGAGTCGTGCTCGGGCCCGTCGCGC